CTACATGGGATCAGGGCAAACCCTACATGGGATCAGGGCCAACCCTACATGGGATCAGGACCAAACCTACATGGCATCAGGCCTAACCCTACATGACATCAGGACCAACCCTAAATGGCATCAGGCCCAACCCTACATGGCATCAGGCCAAACCCTACATGGCATCAGGCCCAACCCTACATGACATCAGGGCCAGTCCTACATGGCATCAGGGCCAACCCTACATGGCATCAGGGCGAACCCGACATGGGATCAGGACCAACCCTACATGGCATCAGGCCCAACCATACATGGCATCAGGGCCAACCCTACATGGCAACAGGTCCAACCCTACATGGTATCAGGGCCAGCCCTACATGGCATCAGGGCCAGCCCTACATGGTATCAGGGCCAACCCTACATGGCATCAGGGTCATCCTAAATGGCATCAGGGCCAACCCTACATGGCAACAACCCTACATGACATAAGTGCAAACCCTACATGGGATCAGGGCCAACCCTATATGACATCAGGGCCAACCCTACATACCATCAAGGCCAGCCTTACATGGCATCAGGGCCAGTCCTACATGGCATCAGGGCCAGCCCTACATGGCATCAGGGCCAACCCTAAATGCCATTAGGGCCAACCCTACATGGCATCAGGGCCAACCCTACATCGCATCAGGGCCAGCCCTACATGGCATAAGGGCCAACCCTACACCGCATGAGGGCCAACCCTACATGGCATCAGGGCCAGCCCTACATGGGATCAGGACCAGCCCTACATGGCATCAGGGCCAGCCCTACATGGCATAAGGGCCAGCCCTACACCGCATCAGGGCCAGCCCTACATGGCATCAGGGCCAGCCCTACATGGGATCAGGGCCAGCCCTACATGGGATCAGGGCCAGCCCTACATGGGATCAGGGCCAGCCCTACATGGGATCAGGGCCAGCCCTACGCGGTATCAGGGCCAGCCCTACACGGTAACAGGGCCAGTCCTACATGGCATCAGGTCCAGTCCTACATGGCATCAGGATCCGTCCTACATGGGATCAGGGCCAGTCCTACATGGGATCACTACATGGCATCAGGGCCCGCCCTACATGGGATCAGGGCCAGTCCTACATGGGATCAGGGCCAGTCCTACATGGCATCAGGGTCAGTCCTACATGGCATCAGGGCCAGTCCTACATGGCATCAGGGCCAGTCATACATGGCATCAGGGTCAGTCCTACATGGCATCAGGGCCAGTCCTACATGGCATCAGGGCCAGTCCTACATGACATCAGGGCCAGTCCTACATGGCATCAGGACCAGTCCTACATGGAATCAGGACCAGTCTTACATGGCATCACGGCCAGTCCTACTTGGCATCAGCGCCAGTCCTACATGACATCAGGGCCAGTCCTACATGGCATTAGGGCCAGTCCTACACAGCATCAGGGTCAGCCGTACATGACATCATGGATAGCCCTACATGGCATCAGGTCCAGTACTACTTGGCATCAGGACCTGTCCTACATGGCATCAGGGCAAGTCCTAATAGCATTAGGGTCAGTCCTACATAGCATCAGGGCAAGTCCTAATTTCATTAGGGACAGTCCTACATGGCATCAGGGCAAGTCCTAATGGCATTAGGGTCAGTCCTTCATTGCATCAGGGCCAGTCCTAATGGCATTAGGGCCAGTCCTTCATTGCATCAGGGCCAGTCCTACTTGGGATCAGGGCCAGTCCTACATTGCATCAGGGCAAGTCCTACATCGCATCAGGGCCAACCCTACATGGCATCAGGGCCAGCCCTACATGGGATCAGGGCCAGCCCTACAATGGATCAGGACCAGCCCTACACGGTAACAGGACCAGTCCTACATGGCATCAGGATCAGTCCTACATGGGATCAGGGCCAGTCCTACATGGCATCAGGGCCAGTCCTACATGGCATCAGGGCCAGTCCTACATGGCATCAGGGCCAGTCCTACATGGCATCAGGGCCAGTCCTACATGGCATCAGGGCCAGTCCTACATGGCATCAGGACCAGTCCTACATGGCATCACGGCCAGTCCTACTTGCCATCAGCGCCAGTCCTACATGACATCAGGGTCAGTCCTACATTTGCTCAGGGCCAGTCCTACACAGCATCAGGGTCATCCGTATATGACATCATGGATAGCCCTACATGGCATCTGGTTCAGTACTACTTGGCATCAGGCCTGTCCTACATGGCATCAGGGCAAGTCCTAATGGCATTAGGGTCAGTCCTACATAGCATCAGGGCAAGTCCTAATGGCATTAGGGACAGTCCTACATAGCATCAGGGCCAGTCCTACATGGCATCAGGGCCAGTCCTACATGGCATCAGGGCCAGTCCTACATGGCATCAGGGCAAGTCCTACATGGCATCAGGACCAGTCCTACATGGCATCACGGCCAGTCCTACTTGCCATCAGCGCCAGTCCTACATGACATCAGGGTCAGTCCTACATGGCATTAGGGCCAGTCCTACATGGCATCAGGGCCAGTCCTACATGGCATCAGGACCAGTCCTACATGGCATCACGGCCAGTCCTACTTGCCATCAGCGCCAGTCCTACATGACATCAGGGTCAGTCCTACATGGCATTAGGGCCAGTCCTACATGGCATCAGGGCTAGTCCTACATTGGCTCAGGCCCAGTCCTACACAGCATCAGGGTCATCCGTACATGACATCATGGATAGCCCTACATGGCATCTGGTCCAGTACTACTTGGCATCAGGACCTGTCCTACATGGCATCAGGGCAAGTCCTAATGGCATTAGGGTCAGTCCTTCATAGCATCAGGGCAAGTCCTAATGGCATTAGGGACAGTCCTACATAGCATCAGGGCCAGTCCTACATGGCATCAGGGCCAGTCCTACATGGCATCAGGGCCAGTCCTACATGGCATCAGGGCAAGTCCTAATGGCATTAGGGTCAGTCCTTCATTGCATCAGGGCCAGTCCTAATGGCATTAGGGCCAGTCCTTCATTGCATCAGGGCCAGTCCTACTTGGCATCAGGGCCAGTCCTACATTGCATCAGGGCAAGTCCTACATGGCATCAGGGCAAGTCCTACATGGCATCAGGGTCAGCTTGTGTGGGCAGACATTGTACAAAATGAAATATTTGAAATCTACTAATAGAGCAGCCTTTTATGATGAGTCCTTATAATTTTTTTTTTAAAGATTAGAGACCACCACTCACTCACTTTGAGTTAGAGATTACCTCTCATTTTGAAATAGATAGTACCACTCACTTTGAGAAATAAAGTACAACTCACTTTGAATTAGAAAGTACCACTCTCTCACTTTGAATTAGAGAGTTCCATTCACTCACTTTGAGATAGATAGTAGCCTACCACTCACTCTGAGTTATAGAGTAGGCCTACCACTCACTCACTTTGAGTTAGAGAGTACTACTCAATCACTTTGAGTTAAATAGAACCACCCACTCACTTTGAGTTAGAGAGTACTACTCAATCACTTTGAGTTAAATAGAACCACCCACTCACTTTGCGATAAATACCACCACTCACTTTGAGATAGATATCACCACTCACTTTGAGATAGATATCACCAATCACTTTGACATAGATATCACCACTCAGTTTGAGATAGATATCACCACTCACTTTGAGATAGATATCACTACTCACTTTGAGATAGATATCACCACTCACTTTGAGATAGATATCACCACTCACTTTCAGATAGATATCACCACTCACTTTGAGATAGATATCACCACTCACTTTGACATAGATATCACCACTCAGTTTGAGATAGATATCACCACTCACTCTAAGATAGATATCACCACTCACTTTGAGATAGATATCACCACTCAGTTTGAGATAGATATCACCACTCACTTTGAGATAGATATCACCACTCAATTTGACATAGATATCACCACTCACTTTGAGATAGATATCACCACTCTCTTTGAGACAGATATCACCACTCAGTTTGAGATAGATATCACCAATCACTTTGACATAGCTATCACCACTCAGTTTGAGATAGATATCACCACTCACTTTGAGATAGATATCACCACTCACTTTGAGATAGATACCAACCACTCACTTTGAGATAGATATCACCACTCACTTTGAGATAGATATCACCACTCACTTTAAGATAGATATCACCACTCACTTTGAGATAGATACCACCCACTTACTTTGAGATAGATATCACCACTCACTTTGAGATAGATACCACCCACTCACTTTGAGATAGATATCACCACTCACTTTGAGAGAGATATCACCACTCACTTTGAAATAGATATCACCACTCACTTTGAGATAGATATCACCACTCACTTTGAGATTGTCCAGCTAGATCTTCTAACCAGCCCTTGTCATGCAAAGTTTGTCGACCCCTGACCTAGAGATTTATAGGCTATATTATATATATAATATAATATGCTGTTGTACTATAAATTATATAGAATGTAGACATAGGTAGAGTTTAGGCCTAAATAAACTCTCAATCTAAACTCTGATTATTCTACACATTTTATTTGTGTGTGCCAGGCTTGCACAACTCAAAATATAAGGCGGGCCGTAATACTTTATGAAAAACTTGTGCGGGCCGAAAGAAAATAGGACGGGGGTGGGGGTGGGTTTATTAAGAAAATAAAATTAACAATAAAGAATATTTCGTCACTTTGCGGGCCGCAAAGTAGTTCTGGCGGGCCACATGCGGTCCGCGGGCCGTATGTTGTGCAGGCCTGTTGTATGCTAATTTCATTAAGTTCAATATAGTTCTCCCATTTTAAATTAACTTATTATTAATAATGAAGCTAATAATTTGTATTACATTATAATACTTTTAAATAATAACATTTATTATCGATAGAATGCATATTGACTGGTATTAATTTTTTTAGACTTAACTAAATTATTAATGCTTGATGAAGGTTTATGCTTATTTATTTCAGTTCCGACTGCACTCTTTGTCTCTTGCCATTCATGAACATGAAGTAGAGACAGAATTACCTGGAAACACCAATTTGGCCACCCTAATTAGCCAAGTTGGCCAGGAGTCGGATTAACTTTAAACATGGATTTTCTTGTTAAAAATTATTACAGTATTAGTATTATGATGCCAAAAGCAGGTAAAACTACTATTGTTACCGTAATTATAGTGATAAGGGTTTTTAAAATTTATTTTTGCAACTTTTACAACAGCTTCACAAATTATTTATATATTTTTTTTAAATACCACTATGGTTGCTTCTTGTAAATATTAGGGATTTTGAGCATGCTATTCCCCCACCACATCCCCCAGTATTTTCTTTGCTTCCAGATTTTTATCGGGGAGGGTACGGAAGGGTTTAAAATGGAGGTGGCTGGAGATAGAGCAGACGAACTGAGGACAGTTTGGTGGTAATGGAAGAGAGTTAACTGTGGGGGAATAATGTATAGCCTGGAGATAATGCTATGTTTGGTATATCTTGAGTCAATATTAAACCACAGTAGATGAAAAACCTGGCAAAGTTGATCAAAAGTTGCGTGTACAAGTAATGGGTGACAATTGGGCTTCGAAATTAGATATTTTCTCATCAAAAGCTGTGGAACCTGACAACCAGCGTGTAGCAGCTAACACAGCTAGTATGTAACTAGTATGGTCAAATGTAATTTCCTTTAAAACTCTGCTAATTCTTATATAATTTCAACCATTATTATCATCATCTGTATTCAGATAACAGAGTGTCTGACTGGTTTCTGATGAGCTCTCCCTTGCCCACCCTTGCTTTAGTGACCTTGTACCTGGCCATAATCATCCATGGCCAGAGTTTCATGAAGAACATAAACCCATTTGACCTGAAGGGAGTAATGGTAGTCTACAACTGTGGCCTTGTTATTCTTTCTGCTTATATGTTACATGAGGTGAGATTTGTTTACACCAGCGTTGCAAAGTTAGAGTTTCAAATTTTAAGCTGACCTTAAACCTACTATGACTATAGACTATAGTCTATAGGCATAGGCCTACCTTTCTTTCAACAGCATCTAATTTGTTTGGAGTGCTATTTTAATTTATTAATTATATTTGTTACGGATAAATTCAAATTATTACCAGCATTTTCATTTACCTAAGATTTAATTACATAACTTGGCTTTTTTTTTTTAAGCCAAGTTATCAAATCATCAACATTTACTGATGATTTGATCAGATAACTTGGCTTTTTAAAAAAAAGAAAAATAATAATTATACTAATACTAATACTCACATTCTATTCATATGGGAAGTAGAATTCTGTTTGATTTATATAAGTAACAAGTTTGCGAAAAACCAAATCACATTTTTTTAAAAATAATATATAAATTTTATGATTAGATCTTGTGATTGACGCCTTGCACTGGTTTTGGTGTCCCAATAAAAAGTCTCTGATGATCTTTTCTTGAGTGCACTTGCTATGATTTTCCTGAATCTCTTTGATGATGGCATTTAATCTATAATAGTTTAATTTCCTATATTTGTTAATCTTAACTGTACATTAATATTTAATATGATGCTGTTCTAAAATCCAATTATCAGTTTGTCATGTCATCCTGGACTGTGAATGGATTTAATCTGCTCTGCCAACCAATGGATTATTCAGATGATGTGAACTCTGTCAGGGTGAGTAGCTAATCATGGTGGGGAAAAAAACTATAATTTTAAATTTTTAAAAAGTGTTTTAAAGTCAAAGTTCCACTCATCATTTTGAAGGGTCAAAAACAGACCAGTATTCATTGGTGTCTACGCAGAGGGGTAAAGGGTGGGGGATAGACACCCCTGGTAGTAAACATTTGAAGACTTCATGAATGAGCCATACTTTTTAATTACATTCAAAAATAAATAATACATTCTCTCCAAAAACACCATCATATGATTATGCCAACAACACCATTATATGATTATACCAAAAACACCATCAAATGATTATGCCAACAATACTATCAATTGATTATGCCAAAAATACCCTCATCAGTTTGTGTTTACTTACAGCTGGCCGGGGCGTGTTGGTGGTTCTTTATTTCTAAATTAATCGAACTGTTGGATACGGTGAGTAGGATCTTTACCTTCTTTTGGTTACGTACAACTTAAGGGTGACAATTGGGGGGGGGGGGGGGGGCCTCAGTGTTTGAGTAAGCTAGTGTGGGGCCTGTGGTATATGTTAAATGGAGGCCCTATATTTAAAAAATCAATGAAACAACACAAAGGTATTTTAACACATACATTTTTAATTTGCATAGTAACTATCATTATCAAAAGTAACGACACAGTCAAAATTATTGTTAAAATATTATTTTTCCACATTTAACATGAGCAAATTTGTGGATGATATTGGATGTATCCATTCCACACACAAGTTTATGTTCATATGTCAAGATCATTGTGTAATGCTCGTATTAGAAGATGACCAAAACATTATGTAGGTATTTTTTGGCATGGGACCTGTAGCATATGCTATTTTGGCTACTACATTAATCTGGCTCTGATGCTGCTAAAGTTAGTTGTAAACCTTTGTTGATACCATGGTCATGTTGTTCACCCATATTTGCAGGTCTTTTTTGTATTGCGAAAAAAGAACAACCAGATCTCCTTCCTCCATGTGTATCATCACACAACTATGCCGATTTTGTGGTGGGTGGGAGTGAAGTTTGTTGCTGGAGGTGAAGGTAAGCTTAATATAACAAAACTGTGATCTATTGGTTGGCGGTTTTTGTTTTTACTATTGTGCAGAGAGCACGAAGTATATTAGTACTGACAGGATGTTTGACGTATATAAGTACTGACAGGATGTTTGAAGTATGTAAGTATTGACAGGATGTTTGACCGTAAAACTGTTTGTTTTTTTAATTTTTATTTAAGGAATTCATCATGTTTGCATAAATATATGTGTATGTGTATATCTAAATTGCATTAAGTAGTTTTAACAGTCATCGAAATATATACCCAATGCCTATAGATCGTGGTGATAGTAAATTACTTATATTTTTAAAAAAATAGACACAATCTTGTCTAAAATCCTAATGATTTATTTGTTGTATTAATCCAGTAAATGTTTCCACCTTTCCTAGCTTATTTTTCTACCACCTTTAACTCCGGAGTTCATGTCCTGATGTACTTGTATTACATGCTGTCAGCTGTAGGACCAGCCCTGCAGCCATATTTGTGGTGGAAAAAGTACCTTACAACACTGCAGCTGGTAAGTGTTACAGCCTATGCCTGTGCATATTGTGTTTCTTTGCTTTACATGTTAAGCCTATGCCACTCATTGTAGACCCTGTTTTATATAAACTTTACCAATGTGGCATTAAAGAAGTCTTTACCATAAGCAATATCTGAAAATATTATTTTAAGTATGAAAATGTAATAACTTAAATCAACTGAATTGGCTATCATTCAACAGAAATAGTACACATTAATTAATGAGCTAAGCATATAGTTAAAACACTAGTTATTGTAATTACTAATACCTTAGTGGCTTTAGGACATACTTTATGGGTAGGTCATGATAAGCAGGTTGTTATAAGTAGGCCATTTAAACTCGTGTTGGTTTTTGTTCCCTACAAGATCAAAGGTAAAGAGTATCATTTGTGAGCTGGACAACAGTTCTCTGTTAAAGCATGTAACAACTTTAGACAGAGATTTACATTTATCTTACATATTATATTTATGAGATAGATTATATGATGTTTGTTAAAGGTTAGTCACTCTGTACTACAATCAACTGGTCAGTGTACAAATTGATGCTTTTTTAATAGAATCTGACACATATTTTTGTGTCCACCAACAGGTGCAGTTCTGGGTTGTGCTAGTCAAGACAGTTGTGGCCATCGTTGTTGACTGTGGCTACCCAGTTGGCTATGAATATTTCCTGGTGTTTTACATGGTCTCACACATAATCCTCTTTACACATTTCTACAAGTCCACTTACCACAAACCAAGGAATAATCCTAAATATCATGAGAACAACAACATTCCAGAACCCAAGCAGCCACTCAAAGGCAATATCAAAGGGGAGCTTCGGGAACGTAAATAAATCTCTCAAGCAGCTCCCAACAGTGACATTTAGGATTGATTTAAATTCTACTTAATTTAAACCCAGTTATTCAGAGAGATGCTATAAACAATGGTTGGCTTGTAACTCTACTTAATTAAAACCCAGCCATTCAGAGAGATACTATAAACTAGGGTTGGCTTGTGATGAGACTGTTGAATGGAAAAATAGTATTTAAACCATCAGTAAATAACTGTTGAAATTGCAATTAGTAAATACTACATTCTTTTTCCCATAACTATCAAGTCCTCAGGGTTTTGATATGTTCTTATAGAAATATTTATAGTGTACTTAATCAGCACCACATGAATTGAATTTCTCTTGCCATTTGCTTTTACGTAAAAGTATTTCATGATTGGTCATCTAATTTGTTCTGTGCAGAAGTTTTAAGCTATATTACTATATTTTTAAAAATATCTATTTAACACAATTGACATTTCGTTCACAACCTTTTAAAAGCACAATACATTTATGTTTGAATTATTTAGAAATACATGTGTTGGTATAATGGAAAAAAGTATTTAGACAGACATTAGTGTTATCTTCATTAACAAATATGACTTCCATTTTAGGACATTGAAGATGTTTCTTATTTATTTAATCTAAGATTTGTGAAAGTATTTAAGTAAGTCTGTTGAATCTGTTAACAGTTCAAATCCAACTAGTCTGCTGTATCACAATGTACATTGTTGACAACGTTCCTATCCATGACATATTGCAACAGGTTTAAGTGAGCTGTGCTTACTGTCTTAATATAACTCTGCCTTACAATTTTACCTTAGGATTGTCTCCCTTTGGAATTTTTTAAGAAAATTTGATGGGAAAAGAGCGGGGAGGGGGAGAGAATAACAAGGAAGAGACCATACATTATTTCAACAATTTTTACCCACTCCCCTTTGTGTACAACTGTCAAACTTTTAAGGACCCCACTTAATTAACTAATTTTTAAAATGTCCACATTGGTATAAGATTTGTGCTACTTGACTTGGATACTTCACAGTTAAATAACATTAATGCTACTTGACTTGGACATTCCATAATATATGATTTGTTTTATTTGGCTTGGATATTTCACAATTATAAAAAATTTATGCTACTTTACTTGGACTTTTCATATTTATATAAGATTTGTGCTACTTTACTTGGATATTTCACAATTATAAAAAATTTATGCTACTTTACTTGGACTTTTCATATTTATATAAGATTTGTGCTACTTTACTTGGATATTTCACAATTATATTACATTTATGCTACTTAACTTGACATTCCATATTTATATATGATTTGTGTTATTTGACTTGGATATTCCATATTTTAAAAAGATATGTGTTACTTGACTATTGAAAGCTGTATGAGTTTAATTTACTCACATATTTGTATGTGTGAATATTGAATCATGGATTAGCTATGAAAAGCTTTCTTGTTAATATACTATCTGTATTATTTGCTTTATATTTTTACACTAACATACTTTTTGCTGTATTTACATCATAAAACAAGTTTTCTAGTTAAAATTATCAAATATCTTAACCTTGATGAAATGAAGCCAACTCAGCCAAGCCATGCTGTGATACTGTAAATACATTTATGATGAACAGTTTTCAATTTAAATCAAGTTCAAATTGTTTGACCTGTGATCCATGCATTCTATACAATGCATAGTGTGAATTTTTTATTTAATTTTTTAAAAATTTTTTCTCATGTAACTACACTGATTTATTTGTGCACAAGTTTATCTGGAATAAAAAATGACTTGAAAACCTCATGTTTCGCGCAAATGTTTACTCAAAAGTCTCATCACAAAGAAACACAATGATCATAGAGGAGTTTTTTTACAACAAACTTTTCACTGTTTGAGTAATGAGATTTATACATTCTAAATCAATTATTTAAGAGAAGTAGAAGCCAAGACATAGCATGACATATGTACGTACATACATTCATTATTCAATAAAGCCAAGACATGACATACATACATATATTCATTATTTGATAGAAATAAAAGCTATGACAAAACAGATTTGCTGCATGCTCAACTCCTATTGATCTCTTCACCCAACATGTCACTGATAGCACTGTCTCTTGATCAGGATCTCAAGCAATGAAATTATCTCTCCCAATTCCTTGAGCATAGGCTTTCTCTTAGTCAGACGGAACTTAGTCACACAGGATTTATTCACCCCTTAGACAGGATTTAGTCATTCCTTAATTAGGCAGGATTTATTCATTCGTAAGTCAGGCAGGATTTAAAATAATTTAATCATTCATTTAGCAGGGTTTAGTCATTTCTTAGGCAGAGATTTAGTCATTCATTAGGCAGGATTTAGTCATTCCTTAGGCCATATTTAGTCATTCCTTAGGCAGGATTAAGTCATTCATTAGTCAGGCAGGATTTAGGTTTTGTTCTTTACAATTAAACCAACATGAATATTTCATTAACCTGTGCACTAATGTTATAATATTTAATTCAAAGTCGTTTTACTTCATGTCATCAAATAGCTTCTCCATGACCCACTTATGGTCATTGATGTTGGAATCAGATTTGAAAGAATCAAATAGCTTCTCTATGACCCACTTATGGTCATTGATGTTGGCGTCAGATTTGAAAGAATCAAATAGCTTCTCTATGACCCACTTATGGTCATTGATGTTGGAATCAGATTTGAAAGAATCAAATAGTTTCTCTATGACCCACTTATGGTCATTGATATTGGAATCAGATTTGAAAGAATCAAATAGCTTCTCTATGACCCACTTACAGTCATTGATGTTGGAGTCAGATTTGAAAGAATCAAATAGCTTCTCTATGACCCACTTACGTAAATTGATGTTGAAATCAGATTTGAAAGAATCAAATAGCTTCTGTATGACCCACTTACGGTCATTGATGTTGGAATCAGATTTGAAAGAATCAAATAGCTTCTCTATGACCCACTTACAGTCATTGATGTTGGAATCAGATTTGAAAGAATCAAATAGCTTCTCTATGACCCACTTACGGTCATTGATGTTGGAATCAGATTTGAAAAAATCAAATAGCTTCTCTATGACCCACTTGCGGTCATTGGTGTTGGAATCAGATTTGAAAGAATATCATTACTATGTGAAGTAATAGAAATATTTGTTTCTTTACGTCTTAGAATCGTATCAAGATTTATACCATGCCATCTGTGGTTGAGTTGATTAGCTTAGGATTTACCCCTGCTATAGTGGGATAGCCTGACCAATGAGTGATTACCTCCGGTATGGCTATGTATCCATAGCTGGCTAACCTGACCAGTGAGTGAGTACCTCCGATATGCCTCTGTATCCATAGCTGGCTAACCTGACCAGTGAGTGAGTACCTCCGATATGGCTATGTATCCATAGCTGGCGAACCTGACCAATGAGTAGGTTCCATTTTGTTTATGTACCCATAGCTGGCTAAACTGAACAATGAGTAGCCTCCATTTGGCTATGTACTCATATCTGAAGATAAACCCTGACAGAATTGAAACCTGCTTGTAAAGAGGTAAGCAACGTTACCACTGCATACATATGTGGACACACTTCACATACACACACTCATAAATACACACACTCTCATACATACACAAACACACACAAACATGGACTTTCATGTTGACGATGCCACATGTGTGACACGTGAATAATGATGCCGATGCTTTGCTATGCCAGCCACATGACCTGCGTTGGCATGTCGTCAGTGTCCACACTGACATGGGTATCTTGCCGCCAGTCGTGACGCCAAAAGATGAAGGATCTCAACCAGCTGACCGACCACTGACCGGACGTGACGGGTTTCATCGGTAAGAGAGGAAAGCTGGTGGAATCAAAACACATGCATTGGTGACTCAGGTAAGGGGGCGGCCATTAATTATGTCAATAAGTTTAAATAGTCATGTCTAATTTTTAGGACTTTTTGCAATATAATGTTTATTTAATATGTCTGTCTGTGCACTGCTGATGGCTGGTCAGAATGTTAGCCCATTTAGTTAGTGCAAGAGTAGTCAAAAGTTGGCCTCTCTTCGCCTGTAGATTCTGTTTGTCGCAAATGACTAGGGCGGTATGTTTGCGATCATGTTGCAGGTATGGAGCAAGAATAAGGTTCATGTGTCATGTGCAGTCAAGGTAAATGATATTGACAGCGTAGGAATACGATATTTTGAGAATTCTGGGAAATTAAAGTGAGAAACAATCATAACATCGCTGCTTGAACGGATTTCCACAATCTGTAACATCTATTTGGCATCACACGTCATATTGAAAAAAGCATGTTCAACAGCACCGACAATGTATAAGAAATCAATCACCACCTGCTCCTCAAAAAAAAAAAAAGGGATTCGACTAATGCAAGTAGCTGCCACGAGACAGAGAGAGAGAAGTAGCTGCCTGGAGACAGAGAGAGAGAGAAGTAGCTGCCAGGAGACAGAGAGAGAGAGAGAGAGAGAGAGAAGTAGCTGCCAGGAGACTGAAAGAGAGAGAGAGAGAAGTAGCTGCCAGGAGACTGAAAGAGAGAGAGAGAGAAGTAGCTGCCAGGAGACAGAGAGAGAGAGAAGTAGCTGCCAGGAGACAGAGAGAGAGAGCTTATGGCAATTATTGCTCACACCGACAATGCTCAAGGTCAAGGTGGTGGTAACCTATGCTATGCTACTGGATTTGCTCAAGGTCAAGGTGGTGGCAACCTATGCTATGCTACTGGACTTGCTCAAAGTCAAGGTGGTGGCAACCTATGCTATGCTACTTGACTTGCTCAAGGTCAAGGTGGTGGCAATCATGACCTTGAGCAAGTCCAGTCGCATAGCATGGGTTGCCACCACCTTGAGCAAGTACAGGCACGAACCCCCCAACCACACCCTAACCCCGATCTGTGGACCGTTCACTAACATTTAGCCTTTTCTTCAAGCGCGGAATTGAACCAATACCACCTACCCACCACCACCCACCATGCACCAAATTCAGAGGGGGGGGGGATGCTCCCAAATGACGTCCCTTGCATTAGTGATTGACGTGTGACCCGGCCCCATCTTTAATCTATCGCAATTTCAGATGTTTGTTGGGCCTGGTTCAATACACTGCTTACCTCGGTCATCAGGCGTCTATTCTGTACTGTTTGACCTTTAACCTCTCTTCTCAAACGCTCCGCCTGA